CATTGATTCCTTGCACTGTTATCCTGTAATACACAGGCTGACTGATTGGCTTGTGCTTCGTGTTTACCAGCAGCTATATTTGTTAATATTCTTTCCTCCCCGGACACATCTTACACTGTGTGCAGTGCTTACCCCATCCTGCATACACTGTCATTTACTTTACTTCCGAAGCCTTCTGGTTTCAGGTGCTTTGAGCAATTGTATACAAATATTACATTAATCAATTAAAAAAAAACAAGTTCCATTGTTATTTAAACTTAGAGCTTGTTTGTTGTCTCTTTGCACAGACAAAGACCGGTTTCGCTCGATTAACAAATAGAGGGTAAAGCAAGGTAAATCTGACATCCTTATGTAAATTGATTGAACCTGTCTTTGTCCATTGTTTTACAAACACAGCAAGTTTTTGTGCACCTGTCATATTTTTACAATTCCAGTCAACACCAGCAGTACCTTTCCCGTTCTTTCTTGTAAAAAAAATAAAAAAATACACGTGTATTTTATTTGCTTTTAAGTACTTAATAACTAAGTGAATGCCTTTTAGCTACTTTCTTAGATGTGGGGTTAGAACAGCCTGAAGTACACCTTGTCCTGACTCTGCATTACAGTTTGTTACAAAGATTATTTGGCCTTTGCTCTCGCTAGCTAAGGTGGGGCTGGATGATTCAAGTTGTTCTCTTTTCCCCTCATACCTGCAGATTTGCATGTTTGACCTAGCAGGATAATTGGGCCCACAGCAACATGGGCGTGCCTCCCTGAGAAACACTCGGTTTCATGTATGACTCATAAGCTGAAGCACAGACACTACTTCCCCAATCTACAGTAGCCATTTTAACTGCATAAAACTGCTGGATTTCTTTTTTCCCTTTCTGGCTCTTGGGACTATGCAAACACCTTCCAAAACATTAAGGTAACTTTTTTGTCTTCCAGTGGCACTGGGTCTGTAATGAAGGGGTATCACATTAACAGCAGGGGAGGTGTACCTGTTGCTAAAACATGGCTGTATGCTTTTTTTTACCTCTGTTAATGTATGAACTCAGTCACATGCTTGATTGCAGTAAGTACCAGGGGAAAAACAAAGAATGCCAGTTCTTGCAGGGTTTTGGTCTTGTAGGCAAAGTATGTTTTAAATAGATGTTTAATATGCCAGAAATACCTCTGATAGACCATGAGAGTAAGAATGAAAAAAAGAGAGCATTCTGTATTGGCGTACAACCACATGGACGGTGTTTTAAAATTATAAAAGGAAATGGTCATTTTATATGGAAGTGCTGTGTAAACTGTGTTTTGCTGTTTTGCAAAATGTTAAGAGCAATTACATTGCTTCTACGCACTTGACAGCAGTACACCTGAAATAAGCCTTAAAGCCTTGACATTTTAAATGCTACTGCATTTCAGGTATGTTCTTGTATTAACTAATGCTTCAAATGTACTGCTGATTCCAACTATTCTAAGCACTACTAAGTTGACTGTAAAACATCTTTATTGTTCAAAACTGGGCATGTATTTAAATTAATTGTTTAATTTGTAGTACAAGGTTTTCTGAAAATGAGTTTGGACAAAGTACTAGTCCATAAAACTGCAGAGTATGATTACATTTGCTCTGGATAAACTAAGATTTGATTCTGAGCCGCTTTAATAGTAGGTTCATAATGTAAAGAATGGATGATTAGTCTTATATATGGCCTTACACCTACAAGTTTATTTCTATTGAAATAGGCTAATAAATCCCTTTAATATAGAATTTAAAATAGAGGAAGAGTTTAATTTGTTTTCATTCAATAAAAATTATACATAGCTGTCTCTCTACATATGACTTGTTTCTCAAAGCTTAGCACTTTGGTTATGACAGAAGAAAGGTATATTGTAAATGAGGCTAGGTGTAGGGGTATTTGTACAAGAAGGCCTTATGGGAACCAAGTTGTCAAAACACTTTTTAATTTTAAATAGCTTTGGACCCTGTATTTTATTTTTTCAGTTAAAAATACAGTTTAATTCCTTTTTAAACTGAAAAATTAATTACAGAGGAATAAAACTTAGTTTGATATTGCCCTTATTATACATAGTATCATTTAATGTCTACTTCTGGGGCATTTAATGGAGTAGAGGGAGGAGTCAACTATTAGACCAATGGTCATGCTTTGGGGTATTTTGCTTTCTTCAGTCCTCATCAGCATTCACCTGTTACCTTTCCTTGTACCCTGCTGTAGCTTATTAGGTTTCATTTTCCTTTTTATTTTTAAAAATCCCACTCAATATGTCCCTGTTTATTATGAGCAATGTATCCTTCTGCCTGAAAAATACTTAAGAGATGGGTAAAATTAGTAAGGAGCAGGTTGTATTGTGGAACTTTTTTTGTTGAATACTTAATATTTCTTGGAATATTTGATTTCTGTTTCTTTCCAGCAGCTTCATAAGTTTTGATGTCCACTTTTGAAACTGACTCATTGTTCAAACTAAGACAACACTCATTCTCTCCATTTGAACTAAGAAAAGGGAAAACCCACTGATTTCCCTCCCTTTCACTGGTTTTCTTTCCTGTAGTTGGAGTGCTAAAAGCTGAATTAGTGTGTTCAAAAGTTGAACTAGGAGTCCCAGATTGCTGTGGTTTGATAATAACATCCAGAACACTTCTGTAGTGCAGCCGTTTCTAGTTCACCTTTGGCCAGGACTTAAAGGGGAAATTTCCAGTTCCTTGTGGAAGCAGAGTTGAATACAAGAAAACTACTGAAACATTTGGTTCACTATACATTTGAACAAATTGAGGAAAATAGTTTAAGAGTCCCAGTTACTTTTAAAAAAAAATAACTTTAAAGTTCTCCCACTAGGCAGATAAGAAGCTGGAAGAGAAAAAAGATAATGATGATAGATCATGACTGATTTTTCCAGTTGAAGGCTGTGTGTTATGTTGTATGTCCCAAAAAGAAAGTAACAATTTTTTCTGTCCACCCACAGGCGGGGATCTCTGGATTTATTTTAATTGATGAAGTCCCAGCTGCAACTGTTGGGAGTTGATGCATAGCTATGACATCATCCAAAACTCCAACCAGCCTATTGGCATGGGCATTCCTGCAAAATACTTGTCTGAGCTTCTAAAAAGTATTATTTTCTTTCCTGTTTAATATGTTTAGTGAAGAGTTTGTAGGCTTGCTGTTGATACAAGAAAGAGATACACAAATTAAAACCAAAAGTAGTTGGTCTGGTGCTGTAACTGCTTGTGAGGCTTACATAGCTTTGGAAACAGTTTCTTGGGTTTGATGTTAAATGTAAATCATTTTACTCCTCTCTGCTGTGTCTGAATGTGAACAGGGTGAAGTAAAGTAGAGCAAAATTGGGTGAGCTAAAATTTGAAAATATTTATAATGAAAATGGGAGGTTTCCCTCCATAGTGGGGAGGAACTTTGATCTCCAAAGTAGCTTTTACTTTTTGGTAGTTTTCACTGACAGTTTTAACACCTGAGTTGCATTGAATATGAGAAGAGCAGACTTTCTTCCTATGGGGTGAGTCATTACAGGGGCAGAAAGTGGAGTGAATGTTACCAGTCTCGTTTGATCCTTTTTGTAAGCAATGAGACCTTGCTAAAAGTAAGTGACTCATTACACTTTTTGTGCTACAGGTGTGCTTTAGAGACAGTTTGCTTTGCTAAATCTTATTTTGTCTAGGGAGGAGTATTTAAATATTTGTATTTCAGAGAATGTGGGCATTGAAAATCGAGGTCCTTTTATTTATCAAAAGATAATGTGAGATCCTGTATATATTATTCTCCAAATAGGAGGGGACTAATCTTTTCAACAGTAAAAATGTTGTAGTCCTCAGTATAGTTCGGTCTCTGGACCTGTCCTCAGGCAAAGGTGCCAACTGTGTGAGCCTTTGGCACAGTTGGCCAAGCAGCAGGAAAAGGACAGCCACACACAGAAACACATGGAGATACCTGCCTCAGAAACAGGGACTGGGCCAGACCCAGGCCAGGCTCACACCTTCAAAGGGCCAAGCCTAGAACAAGACCCTGCCTATATGCCTGAACAGGGACTTGAGCCCCGGACCCTCAGATTAAAAGTCTGAAGCTCTGCCAGCTGAGCTACTCAGGGCACACACAGGAAAGTCGCCTCCCTCCCTTTTTTTATTGTGAAAAGATCCAATCAGATATGGCCTAAAGTATATGTATTTTTACTTTGATATATTATTAGGTTTTAAACAGCCAGTGACCATCTTTAGTGACAAATTGTATATCTAATGCTCCATTGGCTAAGTTAATTTCACTGATAATACATCCTTAAAGAGATTACCCATCTGATTTCATATAGAACTTCATACTGGATTAGAAACCAAAGTAAAAAACTGCTTTCATTTTATAGTTTCAATATGAGCCCTCAAAGTCCTTGTGTTTTTATTTAAAACTCTTCCTTTACACTGCAAGAAATTACTTGTTTGTAGTCATTTATGAATAAACATAATGTCAAAGCTGTAGGCTGGCAACCTGAGGGAAAGCTTTCAGGTGGTTTAAATACCATGCTCTCTTTTTGTATATGGGTGGCTGCTCCTTCATTTTTAGAATTAATGATTTAAATTGAAAGGGATTCATTTAATCCCAATTCCTTTCTAGGTTGAGTGGTCTTCCAGTGAGACCTTTCTAGGACAGGAGTGTCCAACTGGCAGCCCATGGACCATGTACAGACCACAAGAGGTTAATTTGGTCCCCATGCTCCCAACCAGCTGCTCCTCATAGAATCATAGAAGTCGGGTCGGAAGGGACCTTG